AGGCAGGAGCGGCCGCTGGCGGGAGGTAAGGCGGGGCCTGCCCGGGCCCCCTCCCCTGCCTCGGCCCCTCGCCCCGGCGCGGCACGGGCCTTTCCTCTCAGCTCTCCGGGCGGCGTGGGCTCGCCCCGCTCCGCCGCCTCCTTCCCCGCAGGAGGCGCCGCTCTTTCCGGACGCCCCCTCCCGCCGCCCCGGGGCGCGCTCCGCCGGCCTCGCCGCCCCTGCCTTCCCCCGCGTGGCTGGTGCGGGGCTGGCCCGGTCCTCCTCCCCTGGGAGCCGCAGTCTGTCGCGGCTCGCCCAGGCCTTTCCCTTTCCCGCTGCCCGGCCGGAGGGGCCGGCGGGTCCCCCGGGTCCTCCATGGGCGGGCCGGGTTCTTTCCAGCCCGGCCTGCGCGGGTTTCTAGTGAGCGAGGCGGCGGCACTGGCGTTTTCCCTTGCCCCATCCCCCCTCGAGAGGCTGATAGAAACGAGAGTAAAGCAAATGGCTTAAAACCCCTTTCCCCATGATGTAATTCCTTTCCCCTTTTTTTTTTTTTTTTTTTTTTTTTTAATATGTGATACGGTTTGAATACTCCCTGCTCCTACTTCAGCTTCCCATAGAGCGTCCCATGCTCCCAGCTCTCGGGGTCTGGCTGAGGGGCGGCTCTGCGGGTGTGTGGCTCCTCAGGGCCCTCCTCTGGCTGGAGAAGAGGGCTCTGGTTTCTTTCCTTTCTCACCCCGTCTGCAGCCTGCTTTAGTAAAGGGGTTAAATCTTTGGCGGAAAAAGAGGGGGGGGGGCAGTTAAAATTAGAATAAATCATAAACTGTTTATTGACAGGGGCGCTACTCCTGAAACAGCCTCGGTGTTTCAGCCTTCCCCTCTTGCTACAACAGCTGCCCGTCCCATGAACCCTTCCTCCTCTTCCTTACCCAGCAACACTTGGTTAAAATTGCTTGAGCTGAGGCTGTGCTTTGCCTTCAGTTCTTAGCAAATGCCTAAATTTTGAGTTTGACATACATTTTTTTTGCCCTATATTCAGCTATAAGGACAAGCTCAGTTCTTCCTTTTGGAAGTTTCCCCTCACGGTTCAAAGCTGCTCTTGTCCCGAGCTTGGTATCTGCTCTTCTGGATGGAATTGCCTTTGAAACTTAAGCTTGCTTCTGAGATCAAGCTGAAAGTGGATTGTCTTTGTCCCTTCTATAAGAGTATGTAACATAGGCACCTGTCTATTGAAGTGACAGCTTTGTTCTCTGAAAATTGCTACAATGTTAGCTTAGTGTCTTGCAAGTGTTTTCTTCTTTCAATTGTTGTAATCTCACAACTGTCAAGTGAAACGTAAGTATTTTGTAGGTGAGTAAACAACTGTGGCATTCTGTATGTCCACTATCAGGTTCCTGGTATAAAATAGTAAGCAGTGTACAAGCTGTTGCAGGGAAAGGCATGATGGGCTCAAAGGCAGGGGTGGCTTCCTGATATTTTTGCTCAATTAAGTAACTTGATATGGTAGAGATTGCTGGCTGGCAAGCATGCTGGCTTGTGCCTTAATAAAGTTTTGGTTATGTTTAGCAGGGATTGAATTATATATTTCAGTACAGTTGAAAACACATTCTTGACGTTGTGTACTGAGAAATAGATTTAGGCTGTTGGAAGAAATGCCACAAACCCCAAAATCATTTGCAATCTGTATATCAATATGTCCAGAGATGGCCTGATTGTTCCTGAAGTCAGATGTGCCTTGAAATAGAGTTCTGATTTTAGTATGGTACAGAAATTAAAAATAGACCATATTATGCCTCTCTGTATGGAAAAGTGTACATCTTGATGATGTTTTCATTGTAATAAATCTATTTAGATATGTCTACTGTATCTATGTAATACTTCATCATAGTGGTGCTGGTTATGTAGTTAATCTGAGAAACTGTGTAGTTTTCAGCAAGTGAGTATTTCAGTGTTTGCTCTTTGAAAAAAAAAAAAAAAGGCACTTTGAGGATACTGATGGTATTAAGGGATCTGTATCTTTTCTAATAGGCTGTCACACAGTGCTTGGTGCATGAGACCTCATGATGCCTGTGGCTTAAGCTTTTGGAAGCCCAGGTGGTTCTCTTAAGTCTGCCCATACTGGTAGCTGAAGTCAGGGTGGCTTGCTTTATTCTCAGTTAGGAGTTACAGTGTATAAAGTGAGGTGAATATTTTCTAAATTAAGAACATTGTTTAGGAACATGCAGATAAAGACAGTACATAAGGGTTTTTAATTAATTCTGCTCTAAAGGAATTAGGAAAAAAAAGTTTGTGGGAGTCTTAAGGAGGAGCAAAATTCAAGCGAAAAATAAAATTACATAAGTGGGTTGGCACATTGGTAGAGTCTATCATCTTTTCTTCAAAGAGTAAGTATTTTTTTCTTTTCTGGTCAAATAGCTGTCTGAGGATCTGATTCAAGAGAGAGGCAAAGGAGTTAGGGCTTGTTTTCTGTGGCTAGTTAGTAAACTATCTTCCCTAGAAAGATAAGTCAGGTGTTGATAGTAAGAAGCACTCCATCTGCTTAAGAAAGTTTTAATGGGAGGTCAAGTGGTATAGGGAAAATCTATAGTAAATAATGTAATAGTTCTGAATTAGCAAGCTGATGAAAGTGAATTAAGAAATACAGACTTGTTTTGAGCTGTTCTGTTGGAGATAGACTTTTTATTTTGCCCTTCAGCATTTTGTGCTACCTTCAAATTAATAATTTCTTACCAGAAGTTTATATTTAATGCATGAGGCAGTCTTGTGCTT